GGGGGGGGGGGGGGGGGGGGGGGGGGGGGGGGGGGGGGGGGGGGGGGGGGGGGGGGGGGGGGGGGTAAAGTGCAGCCCACTCAGGGCACGCAAGTGACCACCACTCCCAGCTACAAGTAGGCCAACCGAACGTGCCACACGCGCGAACAATCCTGCAGGCATTTATCATGACCGAACCCTTCGAGTATCTTGTAACGTTCTTGCTTGAATCACCACACCCTTCAAATTTTCACACACGTCCAGTCCATCACTGACCCCTTTGATTCCTTTAACGGTCTTCCTGCCACCGCGACACCCTCGACACGTACCAGTCCAAGGTGGACGACAAGGGCAAGCAGTACCGGAGCGTGTTGCAGGCGGCGACGATCACCCGCGACCCCGTTACCAAGAAGTTCTCGACGGAGTTCGGGGAGACCACCGACCTTTTCTCGGGGCACAACGAGGCAGGCCGGGGGATGGAGCTCAGCGAGCTCATCAACTATCGAGGGTGGGTAGTAATGTTCTCTGTCGGGAGGCGTGTTTTGCTTCTTTTTTTTTTGCTTGAATTTGACGTTTGGAATCGTTTGGTGTTTTATGTAGGTCAGCAAGCGACCGGACGGGTCTCTAGCTAGACGCGTGGTAGTAGCAGTGGTTCGAATCCGAAACCCAGGGACATTGTTGCTGTTTCTGGTACTGGCCCGACAACAAGGACCCCAGCTGTCGGCGAGTATGACCTTCGGGGAAAACTGAAGTTGCGTGTAGGGCGACCTGCAGCAGGACGACATTTATGCCAAGACTTGTCCTCCGTAAATGTCATGTGGACAGCAGTACCAAGTGTGGTGGCAAGCCCTCTTCTGCTGACACCCCGGCACTGGGGGTGCAATGAAAACACGTAAACTTTGCTGTCGTTAGAAATGATGCTTCCTCCAAATTGCATGAGGTACATTTTTCACGAGAGAAAGTCGCATTTGATGCGCCACTCATTCTGACGTACTTACACATTCGCCCTGTGTCGTGCGCGACGTGTGTAGTAGGTCGCTGCTGACGGTGGATGACCGCACGGGAATTGTCTTCGAGATTCTGGAGGAGCAGGGGGAGCGACACATGGCTCCGAGGTGAAGAGCTGTTGGCAGAACCATACGAGATTTTGCAGTACTGTAGCCCTCGCAGGGCTTTCGTTAACGTGCACATGTTGGATAAGGCGTGCAATCGGGGAAGTTGGGTTACAGGGTTTTGGTCGGGGATATGGTCTGCGCACCCTTTCTATTTCCTCATTGACTAGTACGCTTGATTTCTCGCGAGGGCGATCCCGAGATTGATAACCCAGCCACCTCTCGCCAGGAGGCAGACATTATATCAACCGCTTCAGTTGTCCAATGTTCATATGATGAGGATGTTTCTCGGTACCTTGTGAGGACCATGTAGTGGCATGAGGTGTGGTCTGTTTGGGGGCGCTACTGCGCGAGATACTCGCCCGATCAGTATTTCTAGCACACTGTCGACGGTAACTCGATGTATTTGTTACTTGTGACGACCCCAAAAAAGGTACTCAAAATTGTCGAGGGAGCTTCGGAAGAGGGGACCCCTTTGTGCTTTGCGCATGTTGTGCGTACGTCTTGGCGCCCGGTTGAGTTGGATCGATCGCTTCGCGGAAAGTAGCTGGGCCACTAACAGCCAGTCCTGTCATGTCATGAGCAGGACACGACAGGGCTACTACCGCCTTAGGATTTTTTCAAAAAACATTTAAACGCGCTCAATGTGTGTCGTGCATGCACGTCTGCATGCCTGACGTTGTCTTCAGGTACATCTTGCCTGAGGGGGACGGCAACCTGGACAAGGGCATGAAGCTCGAGTGGGCCACGGAGAAGGACGGCTCGCTGGTGGTGGGCAGCTTCGGGAAGGAGTACACCGACAACGACGGCCGCATCGTCAACACGAACAACAACTGGATCATCATCATAGACCCGCAGGGGGTCATCACCCGGCAGGACTGGACCAAGCAGTACAAGTTAGTGCAAACAGCAAGGCGTTGCGTGGGGGCTTTGTATTGTTGGGGGAGTCTGCCGCGTTTGCAGAGTTTTTTCTTGTGTGCTCGTCGGTCGTGTGTCCGTTGTTTCTTTGCGTGTTTTCTTCGGAGGAGGAGGAGGAGGAGGAGGAGGAGGACCAAACGAAATCGAAGCCCGAGATGTGTGAGCGTTTTGCTTACCTGCTGGAGGCCAACCCGACCTTGTGGACACCCTGTAATGTAGCCTAGCTTTGCTCTAGCAAACGCGGTGCACGCGGTGCTGGCTTCTCCTCGGGTGATGCATGACACATGATACATGATACATTACACATGACACATGATGACCGCCAGGTACATGTACATGGCGTGTCTTGGGATTGATTGGGTGGGCGTGGCGAGACATAACAGCCCGACCTGTTCGCCCCGCCCGAACAGGAACATGCCCGCCCTATGTGTGTCTCAGCCATCCCCCCTCGACAGAGTTTGCCTTGGATGTCCTCCCCAAAGTCGAGGCACTAAAGTATGACTGACATAAGTTTAGACCTCCCTGATGTTGTGGCGGGGGCGGGGGCGAGACTGCTCTGTTTGTTCTTGCTGTGATTGAGGACACAGATGAGCGTATCGCCGATCACAACGTTCTAGCACCCCAGCAGCGTTCGAGTGTTCTTCGTCTCATGTACCCTTCGTCTTAGGTATGAGTGTTCGAGCTCTCCCCTCAATGCACAAACCACGCAATTCACGCTCTGAAGTCATTCCCGTGAGTCGGGAGGTTTTCGAGTGTGTGCTCACGTGGTGACCAGCGAGCTGTTTAGCTTCCCCGCCTTACCCTTACCGCTGACACCACCCCATCTCCCCCTCCAACCCCTGGCTGTTCTTCCCCCGCGCCTTGCTTTTGCGCGTGTGTTTTTTTTGTTCGTGCTGTGTGTGCGTGCTCCTTGCTCCGTGGGCCTGCGCGCTTGGGCCGTCACCACCAGCACGCTACGCGATGCGGTCGGGGCGACCTTCCCCGGGTACATAATCCACGAGTCCGCCGCCTGGAGCGACGCCCTCAACAAGTGGGTCTTCCTGCCCCGCCGCATCAGCTCGGAGAAGTACGATGACGTTAGGGACGAGAAGGTGCGAATGACCCATTCTACGGTCGACACGCGGCAACAGGCGCAGAAGAGGGATGCTGCTGCTGCTGCTGCTGCTGCTGCTGCTGCTGCTGCTGCTGCTGCTGCTGCTGCTGCTGCTGCCGTATTGTTGTTTTATGCGATACTTTGTGGTGTTTGTTGTCGAAATTGATGTCGGTCTTGGCATGGTTTGATGGGTTGGCTTGCTTGATGGGTTCTGATCGCTGCCGATCTACCTAGTTCATTCATCATGGTCCCTCCAGTCACTTGAAAAAAGAAATACCTTTTTTTTTTGCCGGACACCAATCCCATCGACCCCCACTTGCACACAGAGAGGGGCATCGACACTTGCACCCCTATATGAAAAATATGCCCTACCTCACTTCGCCCTTGTTCGTGATGAGCGATAGGCTCTGGCACCATCTCTATTTCTTCCGGTATTCTTTCCCCTCTTGTTGAAGCATTGCCACCGTGTTGTTGATGAACAATGTTCGTTTTTTTTATTTTGGTTTCAGATGGGGTCGAACACGATCCTCATCGTGGACGAAGACTTCCGAAAAGTGGACGTGAGACACGTGGGTGACATCGTCGAGACTCACGGGTTCTCCTCCTTCAAGGTGTGTGTACGTGGGGGGAATGGTGCTGCTCGTCCTGTTCTGTACCTTGTGCTGTTAGCGCAACGCTGGTGTGGTGTCTGGCTATCTCCCATGCCCTCGCGCTGTGCTTGTGGTTGGTGACACTCTCTGGTCCCTTCATATTTGTGCCAACTAATCGGGATTACCGAAACATGGGGGCGGCCCAAAGACCCAAGGCTGCAGTCGGTATGACCCTTTTGTCATCAACGCCGCGTAATCGCTTCCCACTCCAGAACACCTGGCGCCTTTTGTCGCGGTGGTATGTGCCGGCTGTCAGACGGACTCAGAAGAGATCGAAAAAAGAGTGTCACGAAGATGGGAGAGGGGCACGTTCCTAGAAATGTTTCGAGGAACGATTCCCCTCTCCCCATTTAGGTGGTTGTCGATCCCGTCTCGGCCCGCCCGGCAGCGACCGCCACAAACGGTGCAGCGTGTTCCGCGGCGATAAAACGATTTCGGTGGAAGAGTAGCGGTGTAACATGACACGGATGTCTCTTGTGGGCTGCCCGTGTCACTCTCGACACTTACCACCGTGCGTGGCATGACGCAAGATACCACACCCCCTGGACCAATTCTCAACCTTACACTTCTTCCACGACGAAGAAGGTTGTCTGATTTTTTTTTTATGCGTTTTCGGAAAGCTCTCGATGAGATGGTTCCAACGCCGCCACGTTTTCAGCACCGCCAGTCCCTGCTGTGTAGCGGAGAGTTAAGAGATCTGAACAATGGTCAAGGGGATGTGACACCTTGCGTCACCTACAGCAGGGTACCGTACGAAACGAAGCGAGCCAACACTTGCAACGTGTCCGGTGCGATCGCACGTTGCGAGGGCGTGGGACACAATCTCGACCGTTGACAGCACACCCCCCACGCCCTTTACCCCTGTTTAACCCCCCTCCCCCCGCCGTCTCTCGCGTCTCGCTCCGCGTCGCCCCCCCCTCCCCGTCCGATCCGAACGAATGAATGAAACAACAAAAAAAAGTTTGTTCCCGGAACGGGGGACCAGGTAGTGGTGGCCCTCAAGAGCGAGGAGATCGAGGAGCTGCAGACCCAGACCACCTTCATCATGGTTTTCACGTTGGACGGGGAGGTTCTTCTCGAGGAGACCGAGGTGAGATTTGTTCCTGGTTGTTTTTGTGTGTTCGTAGTGGGGCTCCTTGCGGGTCCTGGTGGTATTATGACTTGGAAGTGCAGCAGTTATTTTTGGTCGCAGCACTCGTCGCGACGGGGTGAGTTTTTTCTTCTTGGTACGCTCTGAGAGAGGTGTGGTGGGAGGGGGGCGGAATGAGTTGGAGAGTCCAGACGGCGAAAGGGAAGAGGTATGGGAGGATGTATTTTTTTGCATGACCGTGCGTATCGGTCGAGCCCTGGGCGCGCAAAAGGGCGTGTACTTGTTTGTTTTTGCCCCCCTCCCTTGGTGTCGATGTTGTTGCTGTTGGGCACGTTTTCTGCCGTTAGCGTGTGCGTTGTTCATGATTGGGTTCGCCGTTGGAAACCGGAAGCGCCCTTTCTCACAGATGGCACAAGACACACACACACACACACACACACACAAAAAAACTTGAGCGCCGGTTTTCCCCAATAGAGCGCCCCCTTTGGCCGGGGAACATGTCCAGTCAGATGCTCAGTTTTTGGCGCGTTTCAACGGAATATGTTTTGCATCGGTTAGACCGGGCCTGGCGTGAAGCTTCTTAACACCAATTTTTACTCTCGCCGCCCGTTTTCCCTTTCCTTTTCCGTGTAACATGGGATGTCCACCCGAACAGATTCCTGGCGGTTTCAAGTTCGAAGGGCTGGAAATCTTCCCGATCCCCGCTTCTAGGGCGGACGTGGCCGTGGCGAACGGAGGCAACAGATAAACGAAGAACACGCATTTGCGTTGTCGCCTTTTTTTTTTGAAACGGTCAACATCCCAAGGCAAAGGGGAGCCCCGCCCTCCTCGTCCGTTTGACGTCGGACCGTGTTGCTTGGGAGATACAACAGCATTAGCGCTGTGAGTTTTGGGGCTCTCTGTCTCTCGTTTCAGCAGGGAAATCGGCGGAAAGGCTAGCTCATCAGATTGTCGTTCGGCGCGGTTTTGTTCTAGTCGAGGCCCGCGACAGTCGCAATGGGGAGAGGGGGAGGGGTGTTGATACATATGGTGCTGTAGGTGAAATTTGCTGCAACGGAAGAGGGCGTTGGTGGGGGGGGAGAGGGAGAGCACCGCTGTTGATGTTTCATATCTCTTCTCGCTGTTCAAAAGGTTTGGGTGCCGCCTCCTCACGGTAGTACAACGTCCCACCTGGCGCTTGTGCAATTTTGGCGCGGGGAGGCTTCGTGCGAAGCACACGGTCCCGCGGAACCCCCGCATGTCTCTGGCAACGCCCTTGTCGATTTGCTTCATTTTTGGTTTTTGCTGACGTGGGTTCGGCAATGGGGAACGTCGAACCCATCTTCTAAAGGGGTTCCGCAACCTGTCTTCGCTTCGGAAATGTCGGGTTGTTAGGCGGCATACCCGTGTAACGGCGTGCTCCGACATCAAGATGGCTTGTTGACCTTCAGTCTCACAGCATGTCTCGTCCATCAGGCGGGGGTTGGGGGGAGCTAGGAGAGATCAATCACGTCTTGGACCTCCAAGTGCAGAGGCGGTCGGTTTCGTGTTTGCGTGTAATACCACGCCACGCTTCAAGGCTGAACCGAGACAGGGGAGTGCCGAAAAAATGTGCAATTCACCCGTGTGCGTGGGCGGTGGCTTATCGCGACGTCTTCTCTGGTACGCTCAAGCGTTGTTGCTACAACAGAGCGACGAAATGCTTGGTTCGGTTTGGGGAATGCTGGGAGCTCGCTCATTATTTTTTGTTTGTTTTTCTCCCATCATTGCACTCTGTCGTCTGCCCCTCTGGCCCCTCTCCTCCACTTCTACCAGCTAGACGACGTAACCGGGGTCACATGGGAGGGGGAGGTTGGATGGACCCCCTCCTGCGGTTCCTGCCTGAGATTTATTTATCGCGAGAAGGGTACAGCAATCCCTTCCCTCGCGACTTCATGAAGTCGGTCAAGTTTACTAACAACGAGCTTTGCAGCGCATCGCTTCCAACGGAGACCAGGATTCAATTAGAGAGAAAAATTTCACTGAGTGTCTCCCGTCTCTTCCTGCGGCTGTAGCTTGTGTGGCTGCCGCCGCTGCTGCCGCTCTTTGTTCGGTGCCACCGCTGATGTACCAGCTGTTGCTGTAATTTTGTTTTTTATTCTTGGTGTTGTCGGTCAGGTTCCTCGTGTTCCGCGTTTGGCTCTCATTAGTGCCGCGGTTTGGCGCGCACGCTGGGTGTGTCTTTTCATGATTTTACCTGCCCATTTGTTTTCGTGCGCCTGCATACATTCTGTGCCACATTCATTCCTCCCTTTTTTTCTTCACTAGGGCAAAGTCACTGAGCCACGCCCTTGCTCGGGTAAAGGGTAGCCACCTCTGTCTTGTCTTGGCTAGGGCAGGCGACGCTAAGCTTGCGCTGTCTTTCCGCCTGAGGTTGCCTTGTTCGGGACGGAACGGTCGTTGTGATCACCGCTCTTTCCGAGTCGGGTTTCACCTCAAGCGAGTGCACGCAAATCGAGACACACGAATGAAAGCAGGGCGACACCAGAGAACCGCAACGACAGCGATTCGACACCTTGCCCGAGAACTGGCAATCAATATGAACAGGTCCGCACTACTGCCGTGCCGCCGTACGTGTTTTGTCGAGCATTCACTTCTAATCGGCACATTCGATAGTACGGGGGCCTGGTTTCTTCAACCTCCACTCGCGAACATCTCGAAGCGAGAAAACGACCCATGGGAACCGGCCGGAATCGAGTCTTCTAGGGCTGATTTCGTGCGGTTCACGAACAAATACTGGTGTATGCAGGTCCCACGCTCCGTCTTTGGCGATCCATACCACGTTGTTTGCCTGCACAACTCTTCCAAACGCCGGCTCTCCTGTTGCATGAAATCTTGGTCTTGAAATTCCGCCGTCGTCTCGCACACAACCCTGTTGTCTCTAGTCTTCACGGCCTCGGTCTATCCTATCTGGCCAAGGACCTGCCGAACACGATCTTCCATGGCGCCGGCCCGGTCGACCTGCCTCGTGGAACGTACATTCATGCCAATGCGTGCATGCATGCACGTAATGCCGGACGACAGGAAACAGACGTTCACACAGACAGCTGTACGGATCGGTAGCGAGTAGTACGATGCACACAATGTCTTTATGTTGAACAGGGTTTTCGCCTGATTAAGAGCGGAGTATACAATTGAGAGCAGGAGCCAAAAAAATGAAATTTCGGGTCCAGACGCCTCTTGCCATTTCTTGGAAAGTAGGGGGCGGGCTCTTCCAAGAAGCGGCGCAAATTGAAGGTCTCATCAGCAGCGTCACGAGCATATGCGTGTCATCGCGATCGGATGCTGCAGCTAGGAGCTAGACAAGTTGCTAGATTTCCCCAGATTGGCTATTCCTGCCTCAAACTGTTTCAGGGCGATTTGATCGCGGGCGGTGAGCTCTGCTGTAGATTCTGCTCCCCGCTGTAGCTCCACAACGAGAGACGCCCACAGGATGACCAGGGTATCGGCTTGTAGCTACGGGCTAGGCCTTCAATTCAAGTCACGCAGCAAGCTCCACCTCTCAGCGGTAGTCCAGCTACAGCGCATCGCGCAATCTCGCTCTCAATCAGAAACTTCGCTCTCAATCACACGAAAAGTTGTAGGACTCACTCGTGCTGCCGCGTCAAGTCGCCAAGTTGGGAGCCAGGCGTCGCGAGGGGTAAAACAAGGCATGTGGTGTACCGCTGTAGTGCGGAGAGCTTAGTTGTATACAACGGCGTGCTTTTGTGCAGGAGGGGAGCTCGGCAGGACCTCAACCGATCTGATGTTTGTCATCCGTAGGTTCTGCGTCGAAGAGAAACTAAACTTACCAAATCTATTTTGTCAACGAACGAGCAGACATGCATGTTTACTCAAGGAGGTGCGGGTACTGCCTGGAGCACAACTAACTTCCGTACAACAAACCCTTGGAAGTTCGTCGTGTCGTTTTTTTCGGGCGCCACCCAGAAGCACGCAAGGCTACCAACGGTATGAAAACACTTCAATCGCGATTAACTGGATAATAGCGAGCAAGGCGCGCCCTGTCTTCAACTCTTCTGAAATCGACATCAGACGCATTGGAGTGAATGTTGTTGTTGTTGTTGTCTTCACATTAAAAACCATCCCGGTCTCTCTATCCAGTACCTCCTTCTGTCTCAATCTCTCCGTACTAATCCATCACTTGACTCGGCCAATTTCCGTGGTCACAGGCTAACGTACCTAGAAAAGGTATACCAAAATAAAATGGACCCCAAGGGTCAGCAG